AAACTTCATATTCCAAATTTGATTTTCATAGTTAAAAAAATGAAAATTGTGCCAGTTGGTAAGTACTCGCAGACTAGAGGAGCTCATTCTTCAATAGCCATAATACTGACTTCAAGTGCATTTGAAGAAAGAACCTTCCCAGCTGCACTCACACCTGATAAGCACACTGTGTGGATTAGAGAGTTTTCAAACAGAAGGAAAAAAGTCATTTTCTGCCACCAGTTTCAGATGCCATGGGTATATCATCTAATGAAAACAAGACTTCTCTGAGTTATGTAAAATGCATTTAGTGTTTCCACCAAATAATTATTCTGCCACGATCTGCAAGATACTGAGACAGAAACACATCTGATTATATTATTCTTACTGCCTGATGAAACTCAACATTGGGGTACCAAGCTGGGCCCCCACCTCCCAGAAGACAGTTCTGTATAGATGAATATCAAAAATGATGATGCAATTATATATACATTATATCATATAGGGGAGTCAATATAATTTACATGTAAACATATTTATAATATATTTAATTATACTCATCCAATATGTCTTAAAATGTAACATCAAATTCCCCTATCTCAAATGGAAGTCTAGGTGACATACATCAAAGGCATTGAATCATGTAGCTTTCATTAACTGCAGTGAGAAACACAGGCCCAAATCAACCTTTGATAATCCTTTACATTTTAAAAGCTTGCCTTAAAATACTATGACTTCACCTTGTGGGAAGATAGATGATGACCAGCACAAAGTACACGGCTAATGGACTGAATCTACAGAGTGCTACAAACCAACCATAACAATGTGGTCACTGTTTTATAAAAAAGGAAATTACACTCTGCCACAGAGTTAGAGCTTCTGGTACCACCAGGCAAAGAGTCTTCTAAATGCCTCAGGAGAATGTATTTGTGATGGTTAAATATATGTGTCAACTTGAATGATGTTTTAGTCCAACATTATTCTGGGTGAGTTAGTAAGAGTATTTTGGATCAGTTTAATATTTGAATTGATAGAATGAGTAAAGCAGACTACCCTCCCCAATGTGAGTGGGCTCATCCAATGAATTGAAGGCTTGAATAGAACAAAAAGGGTAACTTCCTCCTCCCCTTGAAAGGGAATTCTTCCTGCCTAAGTGCCTTTAACCTGGGTGGGGGTCAGCTTTCTCCTGCCTTTGGACTCTAAATGCAAACATGGGCTCTTCCTGGGTCTCAAGCCTGCCTGCCTTCTGAAGGGGTGTCCAAACTTTTGGTGTCTCTGGGACACAACAGAAAGAAGAGCTGTCTTGGGCCACACAATAAATACACTGCAATATGTAATCACGTAAAAATCACATGTTTTAAGCAAATTTACAATTTTGTGTTGGGCAGCATTCATAGCCATCCTGAGTCACATGTAGCCTGTGGTCTGCAGGTTGGACACCTCTCAGAACTACACCATCAACCCTCTTGTTTCTCAGCCCTTCAGACTCAGATCAGAACAACAAATGTAGACCTTGTGACTTCGCAGTCTCCATAACCATATGAGCCAATAAGTCACACACACAATATATATAGAGAGAGAGAGATAGATAGATAAATTATATCAAATATTTTTTTAAATATTAAAGATTTTACTTATTTATTTTTAGAGAGGGAAGGGAGGAAGAAAGAGAGAGAGAGAAACATCAATGTGCGGTCACTGGGGGCCGTGGCCTGCAACCCAGGCATGTGCCCTGATTGGGAATTGAACCTGCGACACTTTGGTTCGCAGCCCACACTCAATCCACTGAGCTATGCCAGCCAGGGATTATATTAAAAATTTTAAACACACCCTAATGGTTTGTTTCTTACAGCATTCTGACTAATACAATATTATAACGAAAAAAACTTTCCCTATAGAGCCACCAGAGATGTCATGGGGACATCTAAGTCAGCACCAAGATAACAAAGAGCAAGAAGCCACAAAAGCCAACAAATGGTGATGCTATTAGAAAGTATGGAAAAAACCAACATGATTGAAACATTTCTTCTTGGTGTAAGAGGTCTGAAACAAGTAACCAAAAATGTCAGGGATGGGGTGGGGAGAGTACACGAGGGGGGACCCCAAAAAACTCAGAATTTATTTATAAAAAATTGTGTATTTATACTTCAAGTTTAAACTTCAGTCACCTTCAAAGTACTCTCCATTTGATGTAATACACCTATGAAGATGTTTTTCCACTGCTCAAAATGGTTTTTAAACTCATCAATTTTGATGCCTTTTAGTACTTCTGTTGTTTTTTGTTTCACCTCTTTCACATCAGCAACATTTTTGGAGAACCTTTTCATCCAGGGAAACAAAAAAAGTGGCCCAGGGCAAGATCCAGTGAATAGGGAGAGTGGGGCACAGAAGTCATGCCAGTTTTTATCAAAAATCGCTGAACACTCAGTGCCACACGGGCAGGTGTGCTCCTAAATCGCCCATGATGAAATGGGCAAATGTGTTGAGTCTTTCAAAAAAATGTAATGAAGCTAAACACAACAACAATGCCAGCTGGAACACTGATACAGATGGGTTCCTAGAATAGTCACCAAGCATGGGAAGTCTGTACTACCAGAGGCCTGCACTCCAGAAGATAATTCTGTTTTTTTGTGGGCCCCCCTTGTAGAGATAGGAAGGGCTGGATAAAAGAGAGAAGACCTGCTTGCAGATGACTATATTTTTCCCCTGAAGATATTACCATTCACACAAATTCAGGTAGGCTTCCCCTCATTCTATGGTCCTTCTGCCACTGCACATGCTGCCCTTCTCTCCAAGGCTAAGGCTATGACACATGCATGCACATACAGCCCCTTGAACCGTTCCTAAATATACTAAGTAATGCACATCAAGCTATAAAGAATTTTGCTTTTCCATTCTTGTTGATCTCATGACATGGTACTACTCCCGAACAATCTTATAACTTTTAGAGCCCGTATTCTCATTAACACCCACATACACTTAAAACCAAACTTGTTTTGGTTTACAGAGAGTAGGAACAGAAGGTGTCAAAGGAAAGGCTTGTGGAATTTCAAAAAACTTCCAGGGTCACAGACACCTCTTTTCCAATGTACAAGTTAAAGATATTCCAGGAAAGTTTAAAACTGCTGGGTGTGTAGAGGATTGTGAAGTGAAAGAGAATTTAGGATTCATTAACTACTAGCATGGGCAAAGTCCTATTTACTCAGGTTTGAGGATTAGTGCTCAAAGTCTTTTATCACACCCTCAACCACACTCCCCATCCAAGTTTTCTCTCCTTTTCCAGCTCCAAATGCACAAAAGGCGGTTGATCCTGAAATACATATGTACCTCAGCAAGGCTGGTGAAAGCCAAGGGACTTAGTCTCCCATATATTTCCAGACCTTTCATGGCCTTGTGAAACAATTCTCTTGCTTTCAATGTCCTTTTTCCCCAGGGTTTGAGAACTGATGTTCTAAAGCCAGACTCCGGGACTGAATACTCTTTCTGAGACTTATTAGCCATGTGTGACCCTGGGAAAGTTATTTACCTCTTTGTGATTCAGTTTCCCTAGAACTCAAATGTGAAAAAGAATAGTGCCTAGCACATACGGTTGTGAGGAAGAATTGAGTTCAAACACATCGGGTTCTGGAAGCAGTGCTGGCACGAGGTACATGTCAGTGTCAGCCTGACTAACCCTGTGGAGTCTCTTACTCATTCTTCTGGACCCAACAGGTCGTAAGTTGCATCTGGTTCATTTATAGTATTGATAACACTTACAGAAAGCACCCATTTACCAGCCTGCCTGCCCCATGGACTGAGCAGGAATCACAGCTTCTTTCTCCTTGTTTCGCTAGTACCCAGTGTGATGCTTGGCACACAGGTATTCAGTGACTTTAGACTGAGTGCTTAAAGGGGCAACCTATTCTAACAAGGAAAGCATGTTACCTAAAGCTTGCTGTTTATGAATGGCAATGGCAATGTAGCAAAGTGAAGCTCTAATTAGAATTTTGCAAAGAACAACAATGCACTCTATTGGTATATTATCAAATCCTGGGATGGTTAATTTACCTAAATTAATTTGCTTTAAAATCTTTTGAACAAGGTCATCTTTGTTTAAAAACTTGTGTCTCTTAACATAAAGAAGAAAGCATTATAAAGCCAACTAAATCAATGTTTCTTTGGCCCCAGGAGACCAAAGTTATAGAAATATTTACGAGCAATCTCTCATACACAATTATAATAACACACAATTATTATTATAAAAGAGTTATTAAGAAACATCTTTCTAACTACCAAGAGCAAGGCATCAACAGACTTAGAACAAGGCAGGAGTTACTTCCCTTAAACGCTAAGGAATAATACAATGACCACTAGACTAATCCTGACCCCAGTTCTCTGATTGATCTCGGTTTCAGAAAACTTCTGTGGAAAAGTGTCCTTTGAAACATCCTGTTAAAAACAGGCTCCTGAGACACATTCACTAGTGCCTCTAAATCATTCCCAAGGGTTCATTGAGGGGACAGAGGAAGGAGGAGACAGACAGGTAGACGAGGGACACACACGTTCCATTCCAGACCACAGTTAAGAAACTCAGTAAAAGTCACAGCCTCTTTTCTGTGTAATTTTTGTTACTCCCATATTAAATATCCATCAGATCACAGCTGTCACTGTCAGGTCAGATGAAAAAAGCCACAATCTTCAGTCAAGCATAAAGGAAAAAAAAGTAATAAAGGAATTCAAATATGCTAACTGTAACAAAAAAAACAGGTGAATCACCATTTTATGTTCCTGGCCACACACACTTCTTATTTAATTAAAAGAATTCAGGAAGATGAGTCTAAGTTTACTTAGCTGCTGTTTACAATCATGAAGGATCAGGAACCTAAGAGAAAATGGTATTTCTTCACAGTGGGCAAGAGCACACATGATGAAACAGTAAGTGAAATGAGTTACTTCAAAAGCCAGAAGAAAGACTCCTGAAAGGTTCAGCTGCTTTAGTTATACAAAAAATAAACTGGGGAAGAGGCACCCCAGGAACTTACCACAATATCCTCAGGGAATGTGTCTCTGCTAAAGGAGCCATCATCAAACATGACCTCATAGAAGGTTTGTGATGTTATGGCGATCACTCTGCAGCTATAGTACCGAGTGTTCCGATGCTTCGTGATGACAGTCTGCCCCACAGAGATGCCCTTCTCGCCAGCCTTGAACTTCTAAAAATGGGCAGAAAAAGAAGAGAGAAAAGAATGAGGAGAAAGAAAAGAGGAAAGGACAGAAAATAAAAGAAATATTTATTTAAAAAGCAATCATTGACTTGGTAATATATAGTTTTTTTAAATTTTTTAACTTTTTATCGGGGAATACTTTCAGAGTTAAAAGTTGTAAGAATATGAATGGTACAAAAAAAGCCATATATTCTTTTACCCTTTACCCAGCTTTAGCTATTGTTATCTATTGCTATTAACATTTACCATTTCCTTTTTTGCATATTATGTCTCTTTTATATATTCAAGTATACATAAAATTGTGTGTATATATAAACTAATATAAATATAAGCCCCTCACCACCAACCTTTTGAGCCTTACCAGAATTTTATTCCTAAATACATCAGTGTGTGTTTTCTAAGAGCAATTTTTTTACATAACCATAGTTATGTAATAGTTACAGTTACTAACTTTAGTATTTTTAACATTAATATGATCCTCTACAATGCATGTTCCAATTTTGCCAATTGAGCCAATAATGACCTTTAGGGTACCCCACACTTTGGTCCCCTACTCTCAAGTACAGGATCCAGTCTAGGGTCAGGTACTACATTTAGATGCCACATTTCTTTAGCTTAATCCTTTAAACTGAAACATTTTCAGAGCCTGTATTTGTCTTTTATGATTGTGAAATTATTCTTTTGAAATACAGTTCTCCCTCCCCTGCTTTTTGAATAGAACATTTGTCTGATGTTTCCTCATGATTAGATCCAGCTTGTACCTTCCAGGCCAGACCACTACATAGGTGACGCTGTGTTCTCAGGATATCACATCTGGAAGCACATGATTGTTTGTCTGCCTCTGAATGGTGATGTGAGTTTGGATCCTGGTCAAAGTATGGTCCAATTTCTCCACTTTATAATTACCCCTTTTCTTTTACAACTAATAAATAATCTGTGAGAAAAACTTTCACACCATTCAAAAATCCTTTTCTTACACACTTCTGCTTGGATTTAGCACCTGTTGACGAGTCTTCTGTGATCCAACATTTACTATGATGGTGGTGATGTGCTGCTTTTCCTTGCCCCAGCACTCCTTCCCTCCACATTTACTAGTTGGCACCTGTCATTCATTAAGCAAGAGGTGCCTACTCTCCCCACATCCATCCACCCATTATTAGTATGAACTTAATAATTCTCCCCCATAATTGTTTATAATTAATACTTAATTATTTTGGTGCTCAGATTATCCCAGATTTGGCCAATATACAAACCCTTTTCAAACTGTTTCCTGTGCTCTCAGACACCTTTTTCTTTCTTTTTTTTTTTTAAAAGAAGTTTCTTACTTCCTGACCTAACAAGATGTTGGCATCTCTATGGGGGACATGGTTTGTTTTAGAGGAGGATGATATTAGAGATGAACATGGAGGTACTTAGGTAGGCTTATTAGTAATTACCACAGAGATATCTTTGCTTCTTGACCCTTTGAAAAGACACAGCAAAAAAAAAAAAAATGCATGCATATGTGTGCACTTACACATACATGCCCACGAATACATGCATAAATACATGTATGTATATGTTAGAGATCTTAAGTTCACAGTGAAATCCCTATTCATCCCCAGAGGGTTCTTTCTCACCTCCCCGCATCTGTACTTGCATAACCCTTGTTTCTCAGTGAGAACCTTGCCTTCAAGAACATTGACCCACTTACTCATTTGTTCTGTCTTAAAATACACCTAGTTACTTTGTGAAGACTTATAGGAGAGCTGAATTAATAGTTTTAAACTATAAAATGTAAAAGTAATCCACAAGACAGATCATTCCATTTTTAAATGTTACATTAAGGATAAAGTTCCATTATCAAATTGTGTTAACAGCTGGAAAGTCATGATGGGTCACAGTGCTTCCCTAAGAACACAGTCCTGAGTTGTAGACTCCACTCCTTTGTTTGTTTGTTTCCACACCATTTTTCACACATGTCCATAGCCTCCTGGAACAGCATGGCTAGGTATACACACCATGCTATGAAAGCAGAAGACTGTGGGATTAGGCTTTCTTTTAAAAATGCTTGGCAGAGCTGCTGGCTCACAGTAAATACTCCAGAAATGTTAGTTTGTTGTATTTTGGGGTTTCTGTATTTTGTGTTTTTGATAAAGCTGCTGCTCTCCCTTCAGGAACTCCTGCAACCCCACTCCTGCCAGATGAGAGTCAGTAGTCAACATCTTATGTAGAAGGCTGCTCTCAAGCACTGGGTCCCTTTTACTCTCCAACTCCAAGTCTCATTCATGGATCTAATTCACTGGATGCCACAAGCTCTGACCCACTACAAAGGCACTGAATCAAGCACCTGGGAAGGTCCAGACCTTTGATAAATGGGCTCTGGAAGGCACAGTCTCACAGTCCCCAAGATACAACATCATTCTGACATGTCACTTATGCCTACAGAAAAAGCCAGGATTCACTAAATCCTAGTATTTTCCATCAGGGGAACTTAGATGTTACTGGGTTACAGTGTTGTCATTCAGAATCTTAGTTCTAGTAGAGGCCTTACATATTTTCCCCCTCTGAATTTAAAAAATGACTAAAACGTCTTACAGGGGACAAATAAGTGCTATGTTTGATCTTTTCCTTCTAAAACTGACGAACACATGCCCAGTAAATCATTAATTCACTGGCCTTCAACAGTCATTTGTGGCTAGCCAGTGGGCACAAAGCACTCCCCTGGTGTTGGAAACTCAAATATATAAAAACCATAAAAACTTGATTCCTGTTCTCTAGTACAGGCTCACAACGGTATGTGCCATGAAGTCATTTTATAGGTGACATGACAGAAGACTAGCGGGATATATTCCAGCATGTCATCTATTGCATGACTTTGTATTCATGGGCAGAATGAGGGGTGGAGGAAAATGAAGCACAGAGTGATGGGCATGAGCAAAGGCCCAGAGGCCAGAAACAGCCTGTTCTGTTCTAGGAACTGCAAGAGGTCCTGTTGCTGCGTGGGAGGTGAGGGGAGGACGTGGGAAGGAGGACAGGTCTTATGCCATCCTAAGGAATCTGGACATTATCCTGTGACCTTAAGGAAGCCACTGAGGTTTGGGTGCAGAAGAAAAACAAGCCATGTCTATATGGCTACAGGTGGAGAAGGGCCTGGTGGAGCTTACCACAATGGTCCAGGTGGGAGAGGAGGGCCTAGAATAGTGAGAAAGGAAAGACAGAAATGCTCATGATTTGGACAAGGAACAACTCCCAACAAACATGTTCCTAAGGTCTGCTACTTACAGAGTGAACTTGGCCATCTGGTTTCTCACATGCCTAACAAAAATAAAAGGATATTTTCCTCCTTGAAATCATTCCCCGGTGATAGCTGTATTGGTTGGGAAAATTTTCTGTGCCCTCACGTACAGTGAAGTGTGTAAACATTTTACCAAAGGATACAGTAGGAGACCTATAGTGGTTACAAGTACAAATATTGCACTTCACTATGATATTAGTTCCTTTCTGGATGTTATTAAAATTGGATTTACCATCTTAAGGAGACGGGGTGATTTGGATTTGAATTCTAAGCTCTGCTTCTTACTAACTAGGTGATCTTGGGGATGTTACTTAATCTTTATCAGCCTCAGTTTGCTCATCTGCAGAAGGGACAATACTTACATGAAAGGTCTGCTGTGAAATAGGATATATAAAATACCTAGACACATGGGCAGTTGGTTCTCAGCAAATGTCAAGTGGCTTCATTTTAGGAAATGAAGAACTACCCGGTTAACAAACCACACTACCCTCCTGTACTCAACAATTATCATGTCTGACTGCACAACACCCTGATTTCACATGACAAGGCTCAACCCAGTCCCAAATCATCGTTGTCCTGCCCTTTACCTCATCTACTTCTGACTTTAACTCTTGTCACAGCACATACTCATAGCTATGGTCCTGAGGAAGGAAGGCATAATGTGGTCTCCTCCCCTCACTGCCAAGGCTTCCAAAGTCTTTGTTTCTAACTTACTTAAAGGCCTGGCCTAATGTCACTTTCACAAACTTACCATGACAGGGCAAATCCATGGAACAGTGCCAAGACACATTTGTCTTTTTATCCACAGCATCTAGCAGGCTGTGTACAACACTGCTACTGAATAATGAATGAACGAACGATGAATCAATAAACAAAAAAATATGAATGAATGAATTATAAGGATGGGTACAAACACATTTTCAAAATGGGAGAGACTTTGATTCATTCAGTTTAGAAAACGGCAAAGAAAAACAAAAGGGAGTTTTAGGAAGATGTTCCTCTTTCTTGGGGTTGGGAGGCATGTATGTGGGTAGGAAAAGGGAATAAAGAAGATTTATGGTTAAATTCACAGGGTGTGAAAAATGGAAGCAGCCAGTCAGGGAAAAGAAAAGTGACACAGACTTGACAGAGAAAAGGTTGTCTCCAGACCACAACCATTTCCTTCCTGCTTAGGACATGAAATTTATGCAAACTGACTGATTGGAAAGATGGCCAGCACCAAAATTAAATATACAGTGTTCATCTAAATAAATATTTTCATAAATTTCAAGTATGAGCTCATGAGAAATACCAAGAAAAACATTTTTACAATGCTATTTTGATAGGATTTCTGATTTACTTATTGTAAGAAAAAATTTATTGATAAGTATACTCCATAGCTGATTATATATCTTCAAAATATTTCCTGTCAGAAAAGCCTGATGATATTAAGAATGTCATTTCTGATCACAGAAGACAGATGTTGTACAAGGAGGCTCCAACAAATTAAAGAAATGGCTAAAGAAATGGTTTAAAAGATATGGTTCAGGCTAAGGTTGTGAAAGTCAAATTTTCTTGCACTAAGCAGAAATGAACAGTGTTGTTTTGAATACAACTTTTTTTAAAGAAAGGCTAAAATCAGTTTGAGATGCTGGGTATGTGAAAAAAAAAAAAAAAAGAAAAAGATGTTAAGATAAGGTTCCACAAATTCCACAAAAGCATCAAAAAGTTC